TTACGAATCGGAGAATTACTTGCCAAAGAGATAGTGAGGAAGTAATTAGTATCACAATGGGTTGTCTCGCTTGATGAGAGATTAGATGTACTGTATTTTATTGGATAGCATGTTTATGTGATTATGTGGTTAAATGGATATGTAATTTCTAGGTGGTAGATTGGAACCCTGAGTTTCTAGTATGTTTGCGAAGGCACTGATCACGGTTGCTTCAAACGGAACTATAAGTAACGCATTGGCGACTATCATTATCTGGGAATGAAATTCGGTAGGTGCTTATGTGATATGTGCTTACGTGAATGTATTATGTGTCCATTGCATTGCGAGTAGGACCGAGTTGGTTAAGCTTCGATTATTAATGTTGTCTAGTCTGTATCCTGTTAGTTAGCGCTCAGATGTCAGCGAGGACGAGGACAACCCGTCAGGCTGGTAAGGCACGGGGTTAGGCAGGAGGTCGCATGATGGCCAGAGGAGATTCCGGCAGCCTTCCAGGTAGTGGCAATTGCCAGCTTAATGTGGCGAGCCAGTTAGGCCAGCAGGTTATGGGCGCTTTAGCTCTGAGAAGTAATAACATAGTCAGCATTTGCCAGGGAGTCAGTAGAGATCAATCCTTGAGGGCTGAGAATCAATTCCAGGTGTTGCTTAACTGGCAATGCAGAGCCTTACCATTTTTGAAGAGGAGTTCTTCCCGGTCTAATCCCGGATATGAATTGTGAGAGGCATTCCCTAACCGCTAAGCTCATGATGAATTGCTCTCGAACAGAAACCGAAGACAGTTTGAGTTTGTGCATTTGACAGGATCTCAAAACGAAGGAGGGATTTGAAGGTGCCTTGCATCATTCAGTTGTAAAGGGGGGTGCGGTAGTCTAGTGGTAGGAAGTTCACTAAGGGACGTTTATAGAGTACATGGATGTTTTGTGAATGCTTTCCAGGAGAGTCTATCTCCAACAGTTAGGAGAAAGTCTAAGGAGGCACAGTCATCTGCCAGCACCGAAGAATACTTACAAGCAGTACATCGGACAGAGCTATCTCAGTGCCAGAAGTTGATGGCTTTACTAGTTTGGCAGTTTGCACCTGAATGGTGTGGTCTGAGGAACGCCGCTTGATTATTGATGTTTAGGAGGAAGTTGCAGGCGTGGCCTCAGCTGAGAGTATTGAGGGGAACTATGATTCGATTATGGGCGTCTTGGGTTGACGCCTGCAGACCCATGGGAAAGTGCATGTGCAGAGAGGAGAAGACAGAAGGCTCCAAAGGAGTCAGGTGTAGTGTATGATACAGATAGTGGATTAGTAGGAGACAGGACGGGTTTAATCCTAAACAGTCTCAGAAAGTTAGCTTTTCTAGATCGACCTTTTCTGTGCCGGT